GCTGGGCCAGCAAATATTCAGAATATAAAGGGAAGATTAATGAAGACAGCAAAAAAATACGTATGTTTTTTAATTCCCATGCTTGAACTGTTGTCTGTAGAAAATTCCTCAATGCATCTGTTTAAAGTTGAAAAATTGGTAGAACAGGTTAAGGAACAAACAGACAAAATAAACAGTAATGTCACAAGCACCATGTGTTATTCAGAGTTTAAAAGACAATCAAGGGAAATATTGTTGCACTGTTAATGTAATCTCCAGCTTCAGTTCACCTGATATGCCCATATTTAAAAGGGACCGAGAGGAATTAAGGAACTAAAAGCTGGAGTTTTTACAATGGAGGGAATCACCATGGCATCCCAGAGAGATCTGTGCTGGCATCTGTGTTGTTCAGCACACTCATAAATGATCTGCAAAAGGGGGTAAGCAGTGAAGTGACCATGATGATAGGAAGTTATGAGTTAATGAAGATGAGGACCAATTGTGAAGAATTACAAAAAAGGCCTTACGTGACCAAATAAGGGGGTGTTGAAGTAGTTGATGAAATTTGGAGTAATTTGATGTGATGCACATAGTTATAAACTGTGGGAAATCTACAGGGGAAAAAACATTACAATAAATCCTAATTTTCCATGTAAAATGACAGGCTCTAGCCTCACTGTAATTCTGAAGGAAAGGAATCTTGGTTATAATACATAGTCCTATAAAAATGTCAAGCTAATGCTTACCTTAGCAAAAGAACAGATCAAATTAGTAGGAGAACAGAAAAGGGATTAAAAATATCGCTGTTTAAATGATGTGTATACTTTTTCAATATGACAAGAAGTTCTGGTATCTCTATCTATCTCATGAAGGGTATAACAAAGCTGCGAAAGGTTCAGAGAAAGGTTTTAAAATGACTTTAGCGGAAAGAACAGCTATATAAAGTAGAACTTATGAACTTGGAAAAAAAAAAGAAGCTGGGACATGATAAAGGTCAATAAGATTGTAAGTGGCATAGAAAACATCAATAAGAATAATCTGTATGTTTGCTTTTCATACAAAAACTTAGTGGGGCATCAATTGAACCTAACAGATGGTAGCTGCTGAACAAACACAAAGAAGGGTTTTTCAGGTTTTAGGATTCCCTCTACAGTATGTTAAAGATCCTAGAAGTTAGTATAGACTCAGAGGTTGACTGGATGAGTTCGTGGAAAAGAAATCTATCAAGGGCTATTAAACAGAAATATGAGGCTACTGGAATGTGTTCCTTTTAAGAAATCCCTGAGATGCAGATCTTGAAGGGGAGGAGAGTTTTCTGGCTAAGTCCTTCCTAGGCACCTCCTTTGGTTTGCTGTTGGAGAAAAGATACCAAGCGGAATGAGCCTTTGATCTGGCTAAGCGCAGCTGTTCTTGTTTACTTATTAAACTTACTAATAAAACTGTAACTCATATGAGAATCTACTTTAAAGAATGAGGGAGATATGATTTTGCTAGACATCTCTTCTCAGCCTCACTACTAGTTTCTATGTTCCTCTGCAGCTGCAGAGTGGAAGATGCTACTCGCAGTCACAACAAGAATAAAAGTGACTTCATTTTCATTATCAAGATTGTTCAAAATATCACTAGCATCACCGACTTTACTACAGTTAGTTTTGGCACATTTTATAGTTTGCTCATTCAAGATACATACATCTTGCAAAAATTGCTTTCTATGTAAATATGTATATGTATACAGATGCATCTGCATATATGTATAAATATATCAGCCTTCCATGAGAAGTGGTTGTCTATTCGTTTCTTTCTTGTAGAAGCATTTGAAACTTAAAAAAAAACAAAAACCAAACCAATGAATCTGTACTTTTGCTAGTTCTAATTATTAGGTACTGGAAAACAGGGGAAGGGGGTGATAAACATAGTCATGATAAATATAAAGGCCCAGGAAAATAAAAGTCCAAATTTTAGAAAATATTTTGTAAGTTTGTATTTTGTGAGGTTTATTCAAAATATTATGGCAAAGCAGTACTTAAATTCTACTGATTCTTAGTGATCCTACCACCCATTTGACCTCAGCATTTAAGGCAAAATTGCACTGGTTTAAGTTTTCTTGGTGAGCTCTCACTTAGGGGTCACGATTGAGAAATGTTAAGCCTGAGCAGGTGCAAATTAGGGCTGGTACGGGATATGCAAAGAACCTTTCTAAGATAAAATAAGGCTGAAATCAGTGTAAATAATTTTCATCTACAAGCCAAGAGAATCAGTTTTCTTAAATTACACTTTTTATATCATAAAGTTAAAATAGCTGTCCTGAAATATCCTTACAGACAACAGAGACAGAAAATTAATGCTAACTGCATAGTTTATATTCATATAAACAACGATGTGGTGTCATACTAATAGAATTTTGGCAGTCTAATACACCTTTAATATTAAAAGAATTCAGTGTACTGATATTGTATTCAATCAATGACTGCATGTATTGTGAAAAATGGCAACATTTATTTTTTTATTTGACACAAGGGCCAGAGCTAAAGTGAATTGTATGGGTAGATCTTTTTAGGGTGTTTTCAGTCATATTCAACCTACATTCTCTTCTGTGCTTACATTCAGCCCAGCAGAACTACTTAAACTGCTGATATTAATATTCTTCTAATATTTTCTTGTGGGTATGTTCAGTTTCTTTACCTTGTTGACGCTTTCTGCTGTTAAGGCACCCATAAGAAACAAAATATTCTTAATTAATCCCATCAGTGTCCTCTCACTGGTCTGTGGTGTCTGCGCAGTCAGAAACTGCATTTTTTGTGGGGTATTGCATTGCCAACTGCTATCTAATTTGCTGCTACCTGTCACCCATAAGTCTCTTCATTCCAGCTCTTCAAGTATATCCTCCTACTGAATCTCTCTTAAGTGATTTGATGCTGAATTTACTCTTTGGCAGAGGTGTAACATTTGACAGTTCTGAAGGTTTTCGACTTACATGTATTGACAAAATAGGTATTATACAGATAGCAGCTGATCCTTTTTTCCAAATGCTGCTCTGTTAACATGCTTCATGTCTTAACCGGGCAGGGACAGACCTAGAAGGATGTCAGTTTTCTGGGCCTGCACAGCTCTTAAAGTCTCTTTGAGTATTGCTTAGTTCAGAAGCAAGATTCTCTTTGCAGTCATCAGTGTGCAGCAATGCAACTTTGCTAGGAGTTAACTGTGTATTAAATTTCTTCTAGGATTTTTATTGGGGTTTTACAACACTAAGTAAATAAGTATGTATTTATATATATGCATATAAAATTAAGAGCAAACCTAAATAGCATTTCACAGTAATCCTTTATGGTTCTCCTTTGCCTTGTGTTTCTTGGGCACAAAGTGAAGAGGCAGCATTTTTATCAATAGTTTCAGAACTGGAGGGATGTATACACAGGAGAGCAAAAGCAAACTGGAGAAAGAAAGGGCTATGGGTGATAAGAAATGCTTAAGTTAAATGGGAAAACGTTGGCTGCCTCCTTTATCATTAGAGTTTGTTTATTTTCCAAGAGAATAATGCGCAATAACTTGGATCTACAGTAAGGTGTACAAAACACCTTTTGGAATAAAATTGGGAGCAATCACTGACAGCTGCAAAAACTTCTGTGAGTAGGTAGCAAGTGCCTCTGTAAGGAAGCTGCTGAGTTATGGCCATTTTGGGGGTGGGAGGGCTCACTTACTACCCCAGCAATATTCAGTTTTACCTTAAGCCAGCTGTAGTGTTCCCTAAGAGACTGAGGAGGTAGTTTGTCTCCCTGGAAGTCAGAAATGTAGTTAACGTATTGCATTTACATATGCAATTACATATGGTGTATTATGTTCTTTATACACCACAATTACAAATTTCTGCTCCTAAAAGGTGATTCTGTGATAGATAGCTTGATAGCTCTCCTCTTTCAAAGCAACCCTTTCACACTAGAGTGGTAGGAAAGCTGTTGTGCAGCACGGCTTGCAGGGTACTTGATTTACACAAACCAGTTTCTGGATGTTGGAGGCATGAAGTAGCTCGTTAGAGTATTAGCGTGGTGGGCTGTCACTATAGTTTTCTGTTTTCAGAACATTATTTCTGTAGTAATTAATTTTTTTAAATTGCGCATTACACTTGTATGCCATTCCCCCTGTGGTTGTATGAAGAGGAATACATTGCAAAGCATCTGCAAGGATGCTGACAAGTTACAGTGAACAGTACATAGCTGAAACTTTCATGCTAAGTCCATGGTGTAATAGATTCCTTCTTCAGGAATGTTTAATAATACTAATGTTTTATTAAAGTGAATCAATTGGTAGATGTACTAGAGAAGATTTTTACTTTAAAGGCGTCCTGAATCCCCATAGCCTTTTTATCTCTTCATTAGAGTTTTTGTTACGTTTGAAATTTAGTAGAAAATGATTACTTATTAGTTCTTTAGTTTTAGCAGCAAATCCCTTTTATTAAACCCATTTTATTAAGATTTAGAAACCTCCCACAAGCATTTGACAGCACTGCTCTGAGAGATTCAGTCTCAGAGACCTACTGCTGGGAAGTTAAAAATAAAATTGCAGCCTGAAATACTTTTCTGGTTTAGGTGTAACAATAAAATGCTGGGATTATACTTGTTCTGAAGTGCTTAAAATGCATGTAATAATCCAAGCATTACAGTGCACAGAATGGCCTTAAAATTTTCTCTGTTCAAATATTTCATTAACGCATCTTTCCAGCTCTGAATCAGTCCAGCTGTTGTGTGTGGGATTAACAAAATCAAGTAGGAAATTAGCAAGAGTGTGCACTATAAATCAAGGTTTCTTGCTGAGGACTTTCTGTTAATGAGCTACCATACCCTCACAAGGTCTGTAGGATGTGCAAACCAGACACAAATGACTGCTGGGTAAACCCTTAGTGTTATTTTTTAAGAATCTTTAAAAAAAAAAAAAAAAAGTTAACACTTTCCTGATCACAATACATGTGGCACTAAAAATGTTATACCACAGAATTTTTGCTGTGTTTTCGAAGCATAAAAATCTTAATGTTGGTTGCATCAGAATGCATAATAAATGTGTGTCTACATTTTGCTCTCCGTGTTGAAAGTATGTTTCAGAACAGCAGAAACTTTAATACTTTAGTATTTATATAAAAACTATAAATGACATTCACCAAAAAGTTCTGAATGCTCTCTGGCATTAAAACTGTCAGTCTGTTGAATTTATGGCACCAAGGCTAATGCTTAAATTTCACATTTGGATGAATAAGTCATACATTGTTAATGCTACATAACCTCAAATAATGATTCATTGCATAAAAAGATGGTAGGTGTCTCAAAAAATCCAGTGATGGGGGTTTTGAATCCAGAGGGAAAAATGGTATAAATGCAATTTTACGTGGTGTTTGTAATCTAGAAAAAATATTATAATATTAAGTTTGCTTATAGTTACTCATGTAAGAATATATACTGGGGGAGGGAAAAACCCACCAAAATACATCTTTTCCTTTCTTCTTTTTCAGGTCAGAACTGTGGAGGCTTAGTACAGGGACCAAATGGTACTATAGAAAGCCCTGGATTTCCTCATGGTTATCCAAATTATGCCAACTGCACGTGGATCGTTATCACAGGAGAACGTAACAGGATACAATTGTCATTTCATACCTTTGCCCTCGAGGAAGATTTTGATATTTTGTCAATTTACGATGGACAGCCACAGCAAGGCAACTTAAAAGTGAGGTAAGGTACCTTTTTTTCTTTCTTAAATTCTTTCTGTCTCTCTTTACCTCTCTCTTTCTCTCCTGAATATACATTCTGATGATATGTTACCACTACATTGTGTTTCCTTAGTTCTTCCCCAGGCAAGGGGATAGCAGTCCCCCAAGATCTCACAGTAAAAGACATTAATCCAAATTTCAGATCTTTATGGCCCTAGCTCATATATCAGTAGCATCAGTTGTACTTAACATTTGCACAGTTCAAGGTCAGTTTTGGTAAAGGCCCTGAGCACAGGAGTATTCGAAGTTACAGTAGCTTATTTTTATTTATCTGTCTGCTGATGGAATCCAGATTTGGCCTAGGACCTTTTCCTGAAGGCACCTGTCCCCATTTTTTGAAAGAACTCTTACTGAGATCACGCTGTACTTTTCTACCATGCCTACAGTATTTGGACCAGAGGATGGGTACGCTGCCTGTGCTAACAGTGTCTCAGGGTCCCTCACTGAATGTGGCACAGAAGAAGTGGTGGGCGATACAGTAGTTTGTGGGAGGCACAATCTCATTAGTGAGTGTTAGGCAATCTCTGGAAATGCTTGCCAGATTAAATCCTTCAGGTGACTATTGCCTACCTTGCAGATGAGTTGAGCTGTAAATTGTTTGACTTTGCCAAAATTGAAATTCTTTTGCATGTCTAAGTAAATACAATTATTAAGCAATTAGGGACCTTTAAAGGTCAGAAACTGGGGTGCCTTATATGTCCAAATACCACTGAGGTTTCAAAAAGGTTTTATGGAAGCTTTTTGATCTTGAAGCTTTTCACAACTTCAAATTTTGGTGCATCAGTTTCATTGGTGTCTTGCTTTGGGTGCCTCGGTCATTTGCTGGATCTGGACCGCAGAGCTGGAAAGCAAACATTGCTTTCAGTGCTGCTCTGTCATTTTCTGTTCAGTCATGAGATTTATGGAGTACTGTAAAACACTGCTGTTAGTTCTGTTGTATGATTACTCTTTTACATGCTGCTGATTCATATTATACTGCTAAAACAAATGTGGGAACATCACTGATTTGTTCCACATTTTAGTGGGTATCATCACGCATTTTTGACAAGAACAATGTTCTGACTGATTGTTGACTCAGTTCAAAAGTTTTGAAAACTGTGGACAGTAGCATACAGCTACTGATGCTTGAGTGGCACAGGGTATGTGCTTCATTTACTGTACTTAATTGACCTTTAGTACTTGTATCACCTTTATACAAAGATTAATATTTCTTTTTCAGTCAAATGCTTTTATTATCAATAGCTAACATACCTGCTTGTTTTGCACTAATCTGTTAGTAGAAAATTGTTTCAAGGAGAAGCACCAGCTAATGTTCTGTGGGTATGAGCGTAGAAGACAGAAATACCCAAGTATGATCTTGATCCCACTGAAGTCATTGTAGTTGCCACTGATTTCAATAAAACAAAGATTTAATTTCCAACTTCCAGCAGTGAAGCAGATATTTTATTTATCCTTGCTTGTATTTGCCAATTAGTTACCTTCATAAATGGTATTATAAAGAAAAAAGCATTCCTTAGCTTAGCAGCATGCAGAGGTTAAAAAGGCAGAATTTGAATGACAGGTTTCTATTGACATGTCTCATACCCTGTGACATACCCTTTGTTGCACAAAGCACATTCACAGGTGTACCCCTCTACAATTGCACATTTCAAGACAATTCCCTCAGCAGATATTGGAAAATTATAGTCTTGTTTTTTTAGCTGACAGCATGCAAATGCAAGAGAGTATCTTGGAACTTCTGCTTCAGGGTATGCTTTTTTTTTCCATAGATAAAAATACTCTACTAGACTTTGGGTAATTATATTTCTTTAGCCACCATGCAAAATCTGGAGGTTTTCCTTAAAAATAGCTGTGTAAATAGAAAGCTCTCACAAACTATAATAATTAAGTAATATTCATCCCATATTTTGTAAAGTATTTTTCGGCTGCTAAAGCAAAATTGGATAAAAATGAATAGTACCTTCAACTAGTTTACTGTGCTGCCTGAAGGACATTTTTGTATGCTAAATGTGCACCAGGATACTTTCACTACATATTGATTGTAAAACCCAAGAAAATAGAAACGTACTGTTTGTGTGGAGGAAGAAAAGAGAAACAGGTAGCTGTAAAATGTATATAAGCTTCTTTGGTTAGTGCCTTAAAGCATATACTGATTTAAGGGAAAAGTTACACATGGTAGCAATCATAGGTTATTGTAAGCTATGTTATAAGGAGGTTGCGAAGTAAGATAGTAGCGGGAAGAACAATATAAACAAAAGATAAGGCAACAAAAAGAACTATTTTACATCTTCTTATTTTTCTAGATAAAACCCAGCTAGCATTCTGTCATTCTGTGTAATTACTGAGATCTATGGTCCAAAATTTTCCTTAAAAAGATTGCTACAGCTGCTTTATTTTTGTCACTGTAAAGTTAATAGAACACAAACCAGGATTTTATATATTTTTATATATATATATATATATATATATAAAATACATATATATAAAAAATACTATTTCACTTGGCAAAACGTAATCCAGGAGTGCAGCACAGGCTGGGATCTACCCGGCTGGGGAGCAGCTCTGTGGAAAGGGACCTGGGGGTCCTGGTGGACAAGCAGCTCAATCCGAGAGTGAACAGCGTGCTGCTGCGGGAAAGCAAGCCAACGGGATGCTGGGTTGCATCAACAAGGGCATCACCAGCAGAGACAAAGAAATCATTATCCCACTCTCCTCAGCGCTTGTCAGGCCACACCTGGAATTCTGTGTTCAGTTTTGGTCCCCGTTACACAAAACCAGATGGGGACAGCCTGGAGAGGGTCCACAGAAGGGCCACAAAGATGATCAAAGGACCGGGAAACCTGCCACGTGAGGAAAGGCTGAGAGAACTGGGTTTGTGCAGCCTTGAGAAAAGAAGGCTTTGGGGAGACCTTACCACCATGTTCCAGCATTTAAAGGGGGGCAACAAAGAAGGCGGAGAGGGGTAATGGGTACCAGCTACTCCTGGGGAGATTCTCACTGGACACAAGAGGAAAATTTTTCACAATGAGAGCAATCAGCCGTTGGAATAATCTGCCCAGGGAAGCGGTGGATTCCCTGGCACTGGCCACTTAAGATTCAGCTGGGCAGGGTGCTGGGCCATCTTGTCTGGACGTGCTTTTGCCAAGAAAGGTTGGACCAGATGATCCCTGGGGCTCCTTCCAACCTGGGATTCTATGATTCTATGATATATATAAAAGAGGAAAAGTGAAATTTTAAGTATAATGCTACCTTATGATAATGCTTTGTAGGGTACTGTAGTCTTAAGTATATAAACAAATGTAAAGTTAGGTAATTAATTTTACCATATAGTGTAACCAAAACAGATGTTCTGTGTTATTGAAAAAAACTTATTGTAAAGTTTAAGTGTTGCATTATCAGTTGATGGGAAAAGATTTCAGAATACAACCAAAATCTAGTTAAGCTAGGAAAAGATGTTATATGTATTTTTTATTTGCACTTTAAATTGTAAAGGAGTTGTCATTTGTTATACGCAGGTGACCATCAGCATGCAGAATTCATATGGCTGGAACTCTTGTGGAGGGGAGATGCAAGTGTGGTGCACCAAGACAACAAAGTTATTAGTTGTATTCCTTGTGGATTGTTTCCCTAAGTGAGAGTTGTATTCAGTAGTTCAGTGTAGCCCAGATGCTAGGAAATACTTATTTTGACATTTTTTCTGTGTTGTATGGATCAGATATAATAGCAAATTGTAGTATTTTTAAATAGAAATGAGAAATGTATCAACAGGACATAGGGAGTAGGGACACAGGCCAGCGCTGAAGATTCTCAGTGTATAAGCAGATGTGATCTGACAATATTGACCTATTGACTTGTGTACTGCCGACAGATACGTCAATTGCCACAAGCAAGTGAATTCAAAACAGATATTTCAAGAGTTTATGGATTTCAAAAGTCATTTCAGGGCTGGTTGTATTACATGCCCATCTTCCACAGCTGAAAAGAGAGTAATGCTCATTAATCTTAGCCTAAATTTTGTTACAGTATATTTTTCCTATATGCAGAATTCCTGAATAGGGGTTTCATAGAAAGGTATAGGGAAACCATAACAGGACTGGGTAAACAGAAGTAAGTGCCTGTATCAAAACCTCTGTTGCTGAAGAGGTGAGGTGGGGTGTAAGTAAGTGGGGTGTTAAGACCTTGAACTGCTAATGTTACAAACATGGTGAACTGTGTGCGGTTGCCTTCATCTCGGTGTATGGCTTGAGATTCCACATTTTTTTTAGATGTCAGATACAGGTAAATGCTGTAATCTCTGTGTTACAGTATCTGTTGGTAAAAGTTACTTTTTTAGTACCATGCAATTTATTTAAGAGTTAGTTATGGAAGATCTGTGCAATATACTCTGGAATAATCTTTGGAATTATCAATTCAATCTTTCAGACAGTCCTGAAAAACTCTTAAAAATGGATTCCAAGCAATTTTGTTTTTTCTTACACAGAAAAGCTGCTGATTAAATTATATACACTGATAGGAAAATGCAAATGCACAGACATGAATATTTTTTGTTGTGTCTATACACAGCTGTCAGTTATTTTGGACATACATGAAAAAATTATTTGGAAAGTTATTTTAAAATGTCTTATTGCCTTCATGGTGTCTCAGGCCTTCTAAGCATTATTTAGTTTACTGCAGCCTAGATAATAATATAATAGATGCTGCTTGTTGTTACTCCTTGTCCTAGTTTCAGCTGGGATAGAGTTAACTGTCTTCCTAGTAGCTGGTACAGCGCTATGTTTTGAGTTCAGTATGTGAAGAATGTTGATAACACTGATGTTTTCAGTTGTTGCTCAGTAGTGTTTAGTCTCAAGTCAAGGATTTTTCAGCTTCTCATGCCCAGCCAGCGAGAAAGCTGGAGGGGCACAAGAAGTTGGGAGGGGACACAGCCAGGGCAGCTGACCCAAAGTGGCCAAAGGGGTATTC